ACAGGGATGACGGTGGAAGCCGCAGGTTGGAGACATTGCCTAGCGTGCCAGTTTTGAGGCTGAAGGCTTTGCCAGCCACACCTGCAAGTAGAGCAGAGCCCAGCATCATTACCAGTACCCAGACAGGCAGCCAAGGGCAGGCTGAGCCAGTTGGGCGGGAACAAGGTAACAGAGCAGCTCATGGCACCTCCCCCCTACCCCTCTGCCCCAAGGAGCAGCTGCCTCACCCTGGCTGAATCAGCCTTGCTGTTCCTTTCCCTGGCAGGCATCTGCCTGCCCATGGCCAGTCCCTGAAGAGCAGAATGCCCCTGGATCTCAAGTCAGGGGTGGAGGATCCTCACCCATGCTCATCAGCCCTATACAGGGGGGCCTGGCCTTACTGTTGATGGAGGTGGTACAACCAGCCCCTTGCAGCACCCCCCGACCCTTGCTGCTCACCTCCAAGGCTCCCAGCAGGCAGGAGGCTGTGCAGGTTCAAGTAGGGGTTCAGAGGAATTTTGAAGTCTTTAGGTGGCTCCCCCAGCAGCGAGACCTGCAGGACAAGGAGCCTGGGTATGATTCCCAGCAGCACCGAACTGCCGTGGCCTGCCATGCTCACAGGTTGGTTGGGGTGGTGCCAGCCCCCGCTTAAAGGCCCAAGAGGTGGGGGTGCTGCCGCCCATCTTACCCCGGATGCAGGAGGTCCATTCTCACTCTGCTTTGGTTTCTGGAGCCCACTGATGACGGATCCCAGGAGGGAGGAGGTAAGGCCCTGCAGGGCTGGAGGTGTGCCTGGTGCTGGGCTCAGCTGGGCACTCAGCACAGGCGTCTCCCGCTCCACCCCCATGGGCCCCAGGAAGGATGCCAGGGGCACGTTAGCGGAGGGCAGGATCGGCGACTTTACATGCCCCTGTGCCATGTCAGCTGGAAGGGGGCCACCTGCAGACGAGATAATGCAGCTTCAATGACAAAGCCCCTGGCCTGCTCTAAGCAGCCTCCAGCCAGGACCTCCCTTCACACCTCTGCCCGTACCCTGCACAACCCTGCCCCAGAGAACTGCCACTCCCACTCAGCCCTGGCCACAGGCCCCATCTGCCACCCGTAGGCAATGCTGCCGATGCGCCAACAGACTCAGACCTGGAACCTACAGCTCCCCCCACACCCTTGAGCCACAGCCAGTCCAGAGGGTATCTGCTGCCACTCAGGGGCTATTTCTCCAGCCAAGGAATGCTGAGCTGCATGAGCAATGCACATAGTAGCCAGCTGAATGCCTGCACCACTCGCCACAGAACATCACTGCCCCCACGTGGCTAGGAAGGACGTGCATCCACTAGTGGAAACCCTGAGCCCTGATGAGCCATTACCTGAGGGGAGCTCTCCCAGCAGCTGGCTGGCAGGCTGCGCTGCAGTGCTTGCTATCCCCAGAGCACTGTGCTGCAGCGAGCTGAGGGGAGAGTCCCCCAGGATCCCAGGCTTCTGTGGGAAAAACACAAGTTAAACACCAAGGCAAATGGCACAGCTGGAGCCCTCAGCCCTGGATGCCAGCATGGTGTCAAGCCAAGGAACCCTTATTAGAAGTCACCCCCCAAACACGTGGATGCCCGTGGAGGCCCTGGGCTGGGAGGGTGGCGGCATGGCCCCACCAGCTGCATCTCACGTAAGCAAGAGGCTAAACTCTTTTGCCCTCCAGCCCCAGGGCAGTGGCACCCAACCCCAGGCCCAGACAATGCTATCACAGGGGCACATGTTTCCTGAGTGCAGAGAAGTGAGGAGTTTATACACATGCAGGGAAGTTGGGGGAGAAGGTGGCTGTCATGGCACGCATTATGCTCAGGGCCTGGCAGTGTGTCCCTGCTTAGAGGCTCAAGGCTCTCCTACAGTAGAACAGGGAGACTTGGGCTGCGACCACGTGGGATTGAAACCAGAGCAGCCAATGCTCCCAGCCCACTGAATTCCCTGCCCTGACTGCCTGGCTCTGGCCTGTGAGGACGCAGCAATGGTATAGATGCCCGTGTGCTCTGGCTGCCGTTCTCCCAAGCCACACATCTATGTCACCAAAGCATCATGCAGTTGCTAACCTCAGCCAAACCCAGAAGTTGGCATGGCTTGGAGTCAGGCTCCAGAGCCTGATCAAGCAGCCCGTCAGAGCTCATCAAGGCCCTGCTGATGTTCAGGTCATTATGGGCCAGGCTGTGACCGGATGCCTGCCCTCAGGTCCCGGCTCCCTTGATCCAGTTCATAGGAGTCTGCTGGCTGCAGCCCTGCCTACATCCTTCACTGGGCCAGCAGGTCAGAGCACCCTGACTGTGCTCCCCTGCGGCTGGGCCAATGGTGAAGTACATTGCTGCTACCATCAGGTGGATAATGGAGGCAGATAAGCCTCTTGGCCAGTACCATCCACACCCGCTCTCAACCCTAGCTTGGCTGCAGCCATGGCCAGGCACAGGGCACTGCATGGCACAGGCTGCCCAACCTCTGCTGATGTACATGTCACACAGAGGCCACTCCTACCCCTCACACTGAACACAGATTGATTTTCCTTGTTCTGCAGCAGCCTGACAGATCTGGGTATGCAGTAGTAGGGGGCTCCTCAGCCTTGCCAGCTGGGGAACAATGCAGAGCAGGAAAGATCAGAAAGATATAGGTCACTTGGGGACGGCTGGGGGAGCAAGTGGAAGACCGCAAAAGCTGACATTGTGCCAGCTTCAGCATGCTGTGTTTCCCACTTGCTGTCTGGCACAGAGCGTAACACTACCAGGGGACAAAGCCAGGAACATGGCGAGGCAGTCCTCCAGAAGTGGAGGTGGTGTGAGGCTGGTTGGAAGGGAGGACTTGGGCCCGTCCCTCCCCGTGGTGCTGGCAGCTGAAGAGTTGCGATTAAACCTTTTGGAGTAGGTAAGCGAGTGCTGCGTGCCTGAATTGAGATGCTGGGTGTGGGGCGGGACACGGACACTCGCAGTGCATGTACAAGAGGAGAGGTCTGCTCCCCAGCCAGCGAGAGCCTCCTGAAGAGGCCCAGCTGAAACCGAGTGTGGGAGGGAGAAGCCCATTCCCCTGTGAGTCAGATGCTAACCACAGCTGAGAGGGGACAACTTGGCAGGCAAAGTTCTTGGCACAAATCCTTGTAGCCGCAGGTTCAATACATTCCTACCCAGAGCAGGCTGGCCTTTGGCCCCCCAGAGTGTACTCATCAGTGCTTCCCAAGTGCTACCAGCACCCAAGTATGGAGGCACAAGCAGCCGACGGCAGCCAAAGAACCTGCTGAGGTAGAGGCAGGGGGTTGCCCAATACCTGCTGAGCTTGTGTCTGGTTCTGCAGTGCCAACTGGAGCAGAGCTGTGGACAGAGCCGGGCTGGTCACGAGAGGCAGTGATGGGGCAGCGCCGAGGATGCCTGAAAAGGAAGCAGGTAGCATGGTCACTTTGGCAGCCTCCTACGATGGAGCATGTGCAGCTATGCAGGGATATCTCATCATCCAGTGTTGACTGGTCTCCAGAGTTGGGACCTTGTGCCCATCTGCTCCCTTACCACCTTTCAAAGGCCTTCACAAAGGAGATGGCTTGGAAAGCCCCAGGCAAACGGGCAGGAAGTCCCTTGCCTACTGTCTGCCTGTGCCCTGACCCAGTTATGGCAAGGCCACAGAAAGAGTAGCCACAGTACAAGATGGCGGGGACTGAGGAACACCGAGCCTGCCCAGGGGTCAGGTTCCTGGGAAAATGCGCTTGGCTCATACACGAGTGCAAGACTCCCTGCCCAGGGACCAGTCTGAAGCCTATGCCTGGCAGGTTCATTACCGGGTCACTCTGCTCCATGCGCCAGTTGTCGTCCTTATTGTAAAAGGAGAAAGCCGAAAAGTGCCATTGATGACTCGCAGCCGCCCCCAAGCACCCTCAGCTCATGTAGCTCTCATGAATGAAGAGCTCAGCACCCCAGCACAGAGCCTGTAGGGCTCTTGAGTGCCCCACAAGAGGGGCCAGACTCACAGTCTTACCCTGCTTTCCGCTGACAGCACCGTGGAGCAGGGGATTGAGCAGCAGCTGGAGCGAGGCTGGGTTCCCCAGGCTGTTGAGGATCTGGAGGAGGTTAGGCTCAGGCAGAAGGCCTTTCCCACGGTTAAGGGCCTGGGGGAGAGGTCAGTCACAATCAAGTACTCACTTTCACCTGCTCCCATGGTTGGAGCCTGGACGCTTCTTGCAGGTGCTCAGGGAGGGCAAGGAGTTTGTAACAGTTTCAGAGTTGATAGCTATGGCCAACATAAGGCCAACAGCTTTCCACATCCAGCCCCCGCAGTGGCTGGGCCTCTGAGGCCGTGGCTGCCAAAGGCAAATGTAGAGGGGCCACTGGGAGGGGAAGGGAAATTCCCGAGTTCAGCATAAACCAAACCCATGGAGTAGCAGAAGTAGCATGGACACCCCTCCCCCCACACAAAGGGTACATGCATCAGAGGCCTCTAAGCTTCTGCCTCAAGAAAATGGCCATCTTAGACCTTGCTGCGGCACCCCGATCCCCATCTCAGCCATGGGGGCTTATGTTCCCCACTGCCGTCAGCCAGGTTGAGAATCAGGCAGAGCCTGCCCAGTTGCAGCAGCCAAACCAGCCTGTGCAAAGCAGCATATCCCAGCTGCCTGGAAGGAAGCTTGGGACTGGGCTGAGGGAGGTTTGCAAGGACAGGTCACCATGTCTATCAGCTGGACAGTCAACAACAGCCTGCTCTGGGCTGGAGCAAGGACAGCACTAGGACCAGACAGGAATGGGGGCAAGCAGGAAGGAGAGAGTAGGGACAGGACTTAGCTCTGTGAATGTCTGAGAGGGGCCAAGCATGGCCTTACCGTTGCTTGGGCAGCAATTAGTGCAGCTAGCATGCTGCGGCCAGGGGGACCTGGGGCACAGAAAGACACTCGGATGTGGTTCCCAGCGAGCAGCAGCCCATCTGTGGCCTGTTGGACCGTCTCTGTCATCTCTGCTGACTCATACTCCAGGACTGCAAAGCCTTTCAGCTGCCCATCCTGTCCATACGCCAGCTACACAGGGATGAGGTCGGGAAAAGACACTGAGCACAAGAGGACATGGGCTGCTAGCACACAGACTGCAAAGTCAGAGAGGGGCCCCTATGCCAGCTGGACCTGCAGGCCACTGGGGCTTTGCATGCTTAGGGCTGCCCACGTTCCCTGCATCTTTGCACTGGATTTTGCCCTTATACCAACATGCCCGGCCCCCTACTCCAGCATCCAGATATCACGTGCACTGGCAAAATCTCACAGCAGGCTGGAATGCAGCTCAAAGCCCAGAGCTGAGCTGGAGGTGGTGCCACAGCCTCGCCATCAGTTACAGGCAGGACACACTGTGGGCGTGGGACAAAGGCCAAGCTCTCAGTGGGCCTTGAGCTCCCTGCTCCCCTGCACTGCTTTGAGTCCCAGCCCCAGAGCTCCCCTTAACCTGTGAGTCTCCCGTGAAGGCCCCTGCTGGAGGGATATGAGCACATTCATGCCCTATTAGCCTGGATTTGCTTAAGTGGGAAACAAACTCAGACTGAGAGGGAAATCTCCCTTGCATATCTGGTGGGAGCATGTCTGCAGCAGGCACTGAGCTGTGGAGAGCACCAACTGCTAAATCCCTTGGGTTTTGGTGGCTGTGCCCTTCAGGGAAGCCCTCCCCTCCCATGGCTCACTTGGCAGAAGGTGGGGGCACCGGCAGCTGAGAAAGCCTGGTGCAGCTCCTCCAGGTCCCCATAGTTATGAGGCAGCTTGTCTACGCACAAGCACTTGGAGTGCAGCAGGTCAGGGGTGAGTTGGCTGACATCCGTCCAGTGCACATACAGTGTCCGCGTGCCCAGCTGCTTGCCTAGCAGGTCAGACTTGGCACGGGCAGCCGAGTCCTTCTTCATGTACTCCACAAAGCCGTAGCCCTTGGAGTGCCCACTGTGGGCACTGTACACCAGGAAACAGCGCTCCAGGTTGCCAAAGGGGCGCACCAGCTCCTCGAACTGCTGTTGGGTGTAGTGCCGGGGCAGATTGGCAATGCAAAGCAGTGCATCTGTGGGCTGCAGCTGCACCGAGATCTCTTTGTCTCGCAGCTTGCTCAGGTGGAACTTGTGGATGGCTGACTCCGCCTGCTCTCCATTCAGCAAGGTGATGAACGCTGTCGGGACACAGTCAGGCCAAAGAAGGTGGTCAGCACTTGCCAGCCATGTGTGCGGACCCACCCTCCACCGTGGTCCCCAGGCCCAACATCACCACCCCCGTCCCCCAAGACTACAGGAAATGCAGTGCTAAGGGCTCCAGGTTACTAGGAAGGACTCCACTTGACAAGAGGCAGTTCCTGCCCCACTGGTGTTTTTCCAGCTACCTCCATGAACTCATGCGCCCCCGAAGGACAAGCCAAAGCCTTGGTTTGAGCTGGGGGAGGTGCCCTTGATTTCCTCAGAGCCCTGTGCTCCCCACAGCCTGACAGTGCAGACTCATGCAGTGTGTCTGACAACCCAGCCCCAGCACTTGCTGCTCAGTCTCTTGGTTAAAGGCCTAAGGGGACAGGTGCCAGGTGGGCTTTGGCTGTGCTACCCAACCGCGGACAGGGATTCTGACCAACCCCAATCTAATTGCCACCACAGCAGGCACAAAAGCAGCCACAAGCCACAGAGGTCCCATGCAACTCCCAGAACATTTTCTGGCCGTGAGACTACTGGGCAGCCAGGGCTGAGAGAGCACTCAACGGACCTGGGCAGCCAGGAAGGGCAGCCTGGGAGAGCTGGGGCCTGAGCAAATGCCTGTGGCTCAGCAGCCGGCAGGAACTACAGCCCTGGAGTTTGGAAAGCAAAGCAAATCCAGGCTACACATACAAATCTGCTAGGGCTTGAAGCCTCACAGCTCCTAATGTGCTTCCTGCCAATACTAGCCACCTTGTTAAGAGGATCTGAGGGGGAACTGAAGAAAGACCACACACAAGGCACAGAGAGACTCAGACACGCAGCTGTCTTGGCACGACATTGGCGCCCCAGGCCCAGCCAGCCGGGTCAGCCCTGAGACTGCAGCATGGTGCTGAGCCACAGCCTGGGGCATTGGGAGCCCATTCACTCCTGCACCCTGCAGGGGCCAAGCTGTCGGAACCCCTGGGAGGCGCTCACTATGGGAACTCCATGCCAGGCAACCTGGCCTGCACATGAGGTGCCTGGGAGCACTACTCACCCGTGCCCTTGTACTTGTCCACAAAGCAGTACTTCAGTTCATAGTCGCTCAGTAGGTCGTGAACTTCCTGCACAGAGAGCAAAGGGGAGAGGTGAGAAGAGGGAAGCCATGTCCCCAGCCAGCACAGTGCAGTGTGCTTCCCCTCAGCCCCAATAGTACAGGCAGTCTGCAAATACCACCACATCCTGGCCCAACCCCAATGCTATGTTCCAAGCACCCTGAAATCCTGCTCAGAGCCAGCTGCAACAGCACTCTCTCTGCAGTCTCCCCTGCCTACAGCAAAGTCCATCTTTCTGGCTAGAAGCAGCATCTGCCAGAAGACACTAGAACCAGGGCTGGTTCTTCTCAGGTGCCAAGACAAAGGTCTCAGTAATTTCTGTCCAGAAACGCTCCATATGCTTGGGCAGGTCTGGCCTCTGCACTCAACCAAACACAGCCTGGCAGAGCTCACCACCTTCCAGTGGCTCCAGTAGCTCCAGCCACCTGCAGAGCCAGTTCCAGTTGCTTCCTTCTGGTCAGCAGTGACCAAGGCTTGAGAAGGGCTTGCTGCCAGGAGTCTGAGCTACAGCTCCATGAAAGGCCAAGACTGGGCCCTGCTGCCAGTGCCTGGACACTTTCACCATCCCTAGTTCCTGGATGACTCAGAGCTCTTTGGGCTGTACTCGCTTCTGGGCCTTCCATGGCACAGGCGCAACATGCTCAGTGCCATCTCCAACAGTCCAAGACCCTCTTGCCCTACCCAGAACAAGGGGGCCACCCAAGCCATGCTCAGGGGACAATACCACACAGTAGCAGGCAGCTCCATTGCTCTGCATGGAGCAAAGTTCTCTGGTTGGGACTAGTCCGGGAGCCAGGAAATGTTCTTGCCATGGGACAGGAGAAGCTGAACCCAGGACACGAGACGGGGCAATATGAACAAGGGGGGCCACAGCCTGACCCACAACAAAGAGGCTGGGTCTCCCAAGTGACTCAATTGACAGAAGCCCTGGCAGTGAGGGAGCCCCACAGCACCCAATCTCCCATTAGAAGTGGCTCTGGCAGGCAAAAGCATTTTGGGCAAGAGGCTCCCCCACATGCTTTGGTTGCCTCCCACGGCAAAGAAGTCTCAGCACTCCTAAAGAGCCGTCGCAGCTGCTGGGTACACTAGGCTTTGACAAGACAGTGCTAGGGGGTGGGGGCTCCACCTTCCAGATATGCCTCTGCACTCAACTGCTGCCTCAGGCAGTACTTTCACCCAGCAACCTGCTCAAGACTTTGCCCTTTGGAGCGACTCCGTCAAGTTCCACGCCTAAAGCCTCCCAGTCGCCCTGGGGAGAAGTTGCCTCCATCAGCAGACAGAGACTAGAGGGCAGGGAGGGAATGGAAACCTCATGGCACAGACAGGAGCAGCACCCTAAAATCCTACCACATGCTCCCTGCCCCACCACAAACCTACCTGCCTTGGAAGAAACCCATGGGCAGAGTATAGTGGAGACAGAAGCCTTCTCCACAGTAAAGCCAGGCAGCACCAGATGTCCCAGCCACTGTGCTGCCCACAGCTGCCTGCCCCCACCCCCAAAGAAGCCCTAGCCCAGGCCATCAGCACAACTCAGCCCCTGAGTACTGCTGCTGCAGAGAGACCCCAGTACATGCTTCTTGCTTCCAGAAATGCCAGTGGCATGACTTCTGGGGCAGTGGACTGTGCCAGGAAGTCAAGTGACCCCCCCACAACAATGAGGGCAGGTCATGGGACCAGGCCATTACCTGCTGCCCTGCTGAGCTCATTGGAGGAAGCACAATAGCCATGTGGTGCACAAGGACTTCCTGCAAAGTCTCATTGTTCTTCCCAGGTCCCCTCTGCCAAGTGCCTGTGGGTGGAGCTGGGCATGTCAGCCAGGCAAAGAGAGGACAAGGAAAGGACATGATCTCACAGCAGTGAGAGGGGCAAGGAGTGGGGGACAAGAACTGTGTTAGGTTTAGGAGCAAATGCAACCCCCTCACCCACACGTGAATTTTGCTAAACAGGGTCTGAGTTCCAAGATGCTCCAAGCAGTGCGTGACTAAAGCCATGAGACACTCGCAGCTCTCTCACAGGGCTCGGCATGTTAGACGCACACAAGGCCCTGGGACTGTGCAAGGCTCAGCTGGTTGCACAAACACACACGTGTGCGCACACTCATAGATTCAGGAGCAAAAGAAGAGACAGCAAAATACAGTGACGTTGGCGCCTTCTTCAGAACTACGGGGAGCCAGGCACAGCTTGCTAAATGCAGCTCAAACTACCCAGGCTCCCTGCCACAAATTCCACCCAGCTGCGCCCTTGAGTCCCAAACCGAGGGCCATGTGCTGGAACCAGTGAGTAAGATGCACAAGATGTGGAAATCTCAAGAGAGAAGCAACTAACCAATGGGGCAAAAGAAACTACTGCTCAGCCAGGCTGGCTCGATAGCAGCTCCCCAGAGAACAGAGATTTGTTCCTAAGAGGAGAGGCTGGTAATCGGAGCACAGCCTGCTACCGCTCAGAGATGCCCCAGCCTCACTGTGTTCCCAGCATGCTGCTGAACTCGACCTATGGCTGCACCACAGAGTGCATGACTCAAAACTTGAATGCTGCTGCCTCTTGGCTTTGGGCAAGGCATTTTGCTGCTCTGTTGCATCTACCTGCCAGGAGGAGTGTGAGAGAAAGGATTAACAGAGGCCTGTAAAGGGCTCCTGAGTGCCATGGGGGTGGAGGAGGAGAAGGGAGCTCAGGTCTCAGCCAGAGAACAAAGCAGCACAGAGTGTAGAGTAGCACCAAGACCTGGGGAGCTTAAGCTGACAGTGCCCAAGGACCCTAGGAGGAAGCTGGGACACAGACAGCACCCCAAGCCAAGGAGAAGTGGCTCACCTCAGTTTAGAGAGTTTCCGACCTCCCACCTCAGCACCTGGATAGTCACATCCTGTGCTCTTCTGCTACTAAATGCCACTCCCTGGTGGGACCCACACCCCAGGCTGTCTGAGCTCAGACCTGGGCAGTCATGGACCCTGACCACAGCCCTGCTCCACACAACCCAAGCACCTACTAAGCACGTTCTCAAGGAGCCCCTGCATGGTCCCCTCCTGCCCCATCCCAGCTTTAAGCCCTAGTAGCTGTCTGTCCCCTGCCCCAGGCCCCCTCAACCCTGCACCTGCTCCCCTCCATGCCTGATGGTCACACCCCTCCCCCACACAGCCCCGCAGCCCCAACCACCACTGCCCCGGCAAC